ATCTTAATTTGTGTTGCGAAGATGCACGAAAGTCTTACGGGGTTGGAACAATATGAGAGTAATTACTGACAGAATTAAATTTTTTTGGTGAACTAACCCTTTAACTGTTGAAATAAAATTAAGTCTCTAAATGCGTCTTTTGTTCCTCTCACTCTTTGATTTGTCAGATACGTTTCTAACATTGACAAGATCTTTGCTGAGGCGCCCAGTGACCCTACCCAGGACTTTAAGACTCAAGTGTGAGTACCTGACTCAAAATTTAAAATTTAAAATATGGGTGTGTTTAGTGACCGTTCACCCCAAAATCTTTTTAAACAACTTGAAGTTGAGTAAATGATGATAGGAACTATCCCTTTAATCTCATATATCCAGCAGAGGTCACTATACATCAATTATCTCTCTTTTTTTTCTTCCTTCCTTTTCACTCTTTAATATCAGAGCAAAGCTGGGCTATGGCCTTCTGTCAGGGGAGTACTCTAAGCCGGCCCCGGACCCCGGAGATGACCCCAGCGCCTCCACCGAACCCAGGGTACACGTGCACACCCACCTCTTAACAATTCTAATTCACTGGGTCTCATTAAGAAAAGATAAAGCTGAATTCATGTCCAAATCCTTCATAAATTGTCTTTAATGAAATGTCATTCTGTTTATGTTCAGTTGTTGAGATAAGCCATTCATAAATGATTTTGTTTGTACAGGGTGACCAGGTTGGGATAGCACCTCGCATGTTCAAAGCTCTGGTTGGACGAGGCCACCCTGAGTTTTCGACCAATCGGCAGCAGGATGCGCAGGAGTTTCTTCTTCACTTTATAAATATGGTGGAGGTAATGATGACGACTTTCTCCTGTTGTCTTTGTTTTTCTCTATTTGTGCATTCGCTCAATTCAGCTTTCTTTATGTTGGCCAGAGGAACTGCCGGTCTGGCATGAATCCCTCAGAAGCTTTCCGCTTCCTGGTGGAAGAGAAGATCGTATGCCAGCAGTCACAAAAGGCCAAGTATACGCAGCGAGTGGACTACATTGTCCAGCTGCCCGTTCCCATGGACCAGGCAACTAATATGGGTTAGACACTCATTGGAATGTAGTTTACGTACTGGAAAGACTGGATAAAATAATAAATAAATAATAAATAATTTCTGTGTATCCTTCCTCTTTTTTATCATCTTCTCTTCCTGTTCATTAGAGGAGCTACAAGAAGCAGAGCGTCGCCGTGATGAGGCGGAGTCATCTGGAGCCCCTCCCCCCGCTGTGACACGTGCTCAAATCCCATTTGCTGCCTGTTTGGCTGCTCTCAGCGAACCAGAAACACTCACAGATTTCTGGAGCTCTGCAGTGCAGGCCAAAACCACTGCCACAAAGTAATAATAATATTAATTTTAGTTTTCATTCAGTCTTTTTTTGGTTTCTTCTGTGTGATTATATATCTTTGTTTCCAGGACCACTCGCTTTGCTTCATTTCCTGACCATCTTGTTATCCAAATCAAGAAATTTACTTTTGGCCTGGATTGGGTTCCTAAAAAACTAGGTGAATATTTTCTCTCTCTCTCCCTCTCAACAGGTATTAGGACATTTAGCATTTACATTACTGTTAATCAGTCCATCACTTGATTACACATTGTATTACCTTGTTATGATATAGTGACCCATACAATGTGCCAACACATAATGTGCCACATGAAGAGACAGTGTATCATATGACAGTAGGGTCTGTCTGTGGTGACCAGGTCCACCTCACACACCTCACTCCTTACTACTACCACACACAGCCTATTCTGCGTCATTTTAAATCAAGGTATGCACAAGTTACAAAAATCAATCAATCTATCCTTGTGGAAAGGTTATTGGTAACTACTAACTAAAAGTAGGTCTAGCAAGTCTTATATTTCTGTAATTCACACAGATCAAACACAAATATGCTGACTAAATAAATTGCTAGTTTATTTTCAGTAGCCAGCTAGCAGTTTTCTTGGCAGTTTGCTGATTGGCAGAGTTGAAGACCCCTGCTAACATAACAAATAAATCTTTAAATGTAAATTATTCAGTTAATTGGTTGACAGCCATAGTTTGAAGACTAATATCTGATCCTTTTATTAGATGTGAGCATTGACGTTCCTGACACGCTGGATCTGAGTGCGCTCCGTGCCATGGGACAGCAGCCAGGGGAGGAGCTTCTGCCAGAGGTGGCCCCGCCTCCTCTCATGACCCCCGATGTGGAGGTTAAAGGTATCCTGGGTTCCCACGGCAACGAGGAGGACGACTCTCTATACTCCCCACTGCTGTGTCAGTCTGTCTCTTTTCTCCTCTTTCCGACTGCATCTGTCTTCACTTAAGCCTCTTTCTTTCTTTTTCCTTTGCTTTCTTCTTTTTGTCTTTTTTTGTTCTTTAAATTAATTTGCTTTAGTTCAAGGTAAACACTTGTTATACATGATGTATCATACAGTGTCAGTATTTAGTTTTCAGTTAAATGGAATTTTTCTTGAAATTAAGCAGTGGTTAAACTTTTTTTTTATTTAATTTTGATTAGCATTCAGTCTGTGTAATGATTTCTTGTATCAAACGCTGTGTAGACCATTCTCTCTCTCTCTTTCTCTCTCTCTCTCTCTCTCTCTCTCTGTCTGTCTCTCAGCTCCGGTGTTGGATGACTCCACAGTGTCTCAGCTCTGTGAGATGGGTTTTCCTCTGGAAGCTTGCCGGAAGGCCGTGTACTACACAGGCAACAGTGGCATCGACGCTGCTATGAACTGGGTGATGGGGCACATGGACGACCCTGGTAAATGCATTCATCAATGAGTGTCAGCTGTGAATTTGATTTAAAACAGTATGCAGATTTAGAGTAACAATTCTTTGTGTTTGTTTTTTTCTGCAGATTTTTCTGCACCTTTAGTATTGCCTGGCTCTAGTTCTGCTCCTGGCACAACACCCACTGAGAGTGTACCTGAGGAACACCTTGCAACCATCGTTTCAATGGGCTTCAGTCGAGACCAGGCCACTCGTGCTCTCAGAGCTACGGTGAGAGGCAAAAAAACATTGATGCATAAATCTGCATAATACTTTAATACTATTTTAAATACGTTTGCAAAAGAGTTATTTGATATGTTAGAAAATATTTGGGGTAACCACCAAATAGTTGAAGATTTTATGCACAAAATCACAAATCGGGGTCTTCAATTTTGGTAATAGGTTACAAAAATTGCAAACCTCAAATAAATTGAACAGAAAATAAAACCGTCAGTATGTTATGAATGCTTTGTTTGCACTTTCTTTCACAGGCTATTTGTTATCACTTTCTTATAAGAGTCAAGCCCATATTTTGTCAATTTCTTTGTTTGTAGAATAATGTTCTAGAGCGTGCTGTGGACTGGATCTTCTCTCATCTGGATGATCTGGAGTCCATGGATGTGTCTGAGGGTGGACGCTCGGAGGGAGGAAGTGAAGCCAGTCGGGAACCTCCTCCAGGACCACGTGTCCGTGATGGACCAGGAAGTAAGTGTGTTTGTGTGGCATTTTATTAAATATTTTTTCTTAAATTTTATGCTCTCTTCTAATAATTCATATCTTTCCCATTCTTTTATCCTGAAGAGTATGAGCTTTTTGCGTTCATCAGTCACATGGGATCGAGCACAATGTGTGGTCATTATGTCTGCCACATCAAGAAGGACCAACAGTGAGTAAAGTTCTCTCTCCATCTGTGGACTCCAATCCCTCTATTATTATTCATATGCAGCTTTTGTAATGCAACATCGTCTTCTCAGAATTAATTTTCTTCTCAGTGATTTTATATCCAGTGTCTGTCTTTGTTTCTTTCAGGTGGGTTATCTTTAACGATCAGAAAGTTTGTGCCTCTGAGAAACCACCTAAGGACCTGGGCTACCTGTACTTTTACAGGAGAGTGGTGGAATAAAGTAGACTAGAATAGCATCTTTCTCTCTCTTTCACCCAGACGCACACTCACACACTTCTCTATCTGATCTACTGGAAAAGTAGGCGACAGACTCCTGCTTCTGAACTGATGCGCCATTTAATAAGTCAAAGCACTTCTCCTTCGAATTTATTCACTACTGAGAGAAACCAGACGTAATAAAATGGAAGGGGGAAAAAAAAGAGATGTAGGATGTGCGGATTAGAGTGTTCTTACTCGAAACGCCCATATGTTGTACAAGGCCTTACCACACTCACTAGTCTCCTTTGTGGCTCCCCCTGATTGGATTGTGACTATTGTGTCATCATTGCTTCTAGAGCTAAGCTCCACCTTCCTTCCCTTTGTGTTCCAGAATGTTTCTGCAAAATGTTTAATGACAAGTAAATATCACTAAATCACAAAAAAAAAACAGCTAAATATTATATATTGGAATTTTAAATTTAAAAAAATGAATGCAAAAGATATTGTGCGGTTTCACTTTTTTCCTTATGGTTTGTTCTCCTTTTTTGGGGGAGGAAAGAATTAATTTTGTTCATTTTGCTTTAAAATAAAAAAAAAAAGACTCTTTGCTGCTTCTGACTGTGTTTTGTGATTATGTGTGTGAATAAAGTAACTTTGTTAGCAGTATCGTTTTGTACGGAAGCAACAAACTGAAAGTGCAAAGATTGTTGATAATTGTAAATGCAATGAAAACAAATGCATTAAATGTAAAAACGACACCAATTACATTTAACTAAGCATATCTGGTTAACAATGGAAAGTTAAATCGTTGTTTGTCTTGTTGCTTTCAAGGTTTGACGGTAAGTAAATTACAAAGTTTGAATCTTAAGTGAATCTACATAGCGTATCACATTTGCAAGCCTTAACTGTACTGAAATGTCAATACTTAGATTAATGTGCACATGCTATCTAGGCCTGTAGATGCTCTGGAAAATACTCAAATCGATTAATTGTTTAACTTTTTTTAACCATAATTCTCAAGTCTGTCATGGATTTCCCACCGCGAGGTACGTTGAGAGGCGTTTTCTGCTCTCTAAAGACACTACTTTTTTTTCATTTCTTTTTTTCTTCCGCTGAATCCGCTTTGTTCTCTCATTTGAGTTTCCAGTTCAGGTTAAGGGTTTCGTATCGGCTGGTTTCTCACACGATTGTTTGTGCAAGTTGGACTAAAGGCGCGTGAACTACTTAGAAACTGTCAACAAAACAAACAAAAAGGACATTCAAACGTGAGTAAACAGCAGAGTTTTCAAATATGAAATTTATCTAACTTCTCTTGCATAGGCGAAGGGTTTTAAATTAAAAATACATAAAAGATCCAACTGAATGATGGGTTTTTGCTGCATGTGGTCAAATTAAAGATAAATCTGTCTTCAATTCCTAATTGAGGCTGATGTGTTGTTTTACCTAACACTCGATTATGATGCTCATTTGATTTTTTTTTTTTTTTTATCTTTTCGTTGTTTCTGTATAGGCTATATATTTTTGCTTTTCGTTAACTTTAATACGCTATCGTAATATATAATAAAAAGAAATGTAGGCTAACTTAAAAAAAAATATTTATAATTTCTTATTTTAAGAATTCAAATTTATACGAAATAAACTATTACCAGATTATAACGTAAGCACAGTAGCCTATTTTGCAGAATTTATGAAAATGTTTCAACTCGTCATAACCCGTATGAAACACAAAAATCCGTAATAACAGCAGATTGAATTAGAAATGCTTATTTGCACCACAAACACTGTAAGGGAAATGTATTAGCCTACTATGCATTAGAGATACGTTATAAAGCTTTGATATGTATATTGGCTACAATAAGTTGGTTACAATAAACATTTTTATTCATTCCCCATCTCCAAGTGTCTTATTTATCTCAGATGATTCAAATTTAATTTTAATCAGTTAAATTATGACTATATTTACAAGAGAGAATAAAACAAAATTACCGAAAGCAGTTGCACTTGTGGCTCACAGCCACATTGTTTTCCTGTTTGCCCCTTTTTTCTTAGTTGTAAAAGCTTGGGCCTCTTTTTATATACAAAAAAAACACACACACACACACACAAAAAATCAGATAAGATTTTCTCACTGAAAAGAAATTTCTAGATAACACAGGCTTTTGATTTAAAAAGAAACTTTACAATTCTTTTCAATTTTTTTTTTTAAGAAAAAGGAACAGAATGCCAACTTGCAAGATCCTCTTTTTTCTCCTTCTTGGTGAGCATAAATAAACTCATAAAATGCATTGTTATTTTCTAAAGTACCTATTATTTTAAACGGTCTACATATAAAACACTGCCTGCACAGCTTTGCGCTCTTTAACCCCCTTATTCTCCAACACTCTCTCCTTCAGCACTGTGTACATCGTCTGGGAAATGTGATGAGTTATATCAGCAAGAGGGGGGTGAGGTTTCCATGAATTGTGGTGCCCTGACTCCGAACAGTGATGTAGAATGGAAATTGAACGACGCTCGCATTGTTATCATTAGGGCCAAAAGTGGAAGTAAATTGAAAGGTATCAGTTTATTCCCCTTTTTATACAAACATGATTGAATTTGAAGTATTGTGGAGTCACACTATAATTGATTTTATTTTTAAAGGTAATTCCCATGTTAAGGATAAAGTAAAGGTACATGAAGGAACTTTGAATGTTCCTGACCTGCAGAAAAGAGATTATGGCGTTTATACCTGCATTCAGACAGGGAAACAATACACTGTGCATGTTGTGTCAGGTGAGAGACCACAGCAGTGGCGAGAACCTAGAGTTGCCTTTTTTAAATGTATTTATTTATTTTTTAGAATGATTGTACGGTATGTTTCATATTTGCTCTCTCTCTCTCTCTCTCACACACAGTCTTTGCTAGTCCAGGCCCAGTGCTGGTGCAGTCTAGTAATGTAGAGCTGCACTGTGAAATTACAGGAAAACCAAATGCTGAAGTACAGTGGCTGACTCCAACTAATCAAACTAATTATAAAAAACAAGTGATTCAGCTGAAGTCTGTGACTTCAAAAGAGGAAGGCGTGTGGACATGTCTGGTCAAGGATGACTTGAAGTTCAGTTTAAAATTGACTGTTGTCGGTTGGTGTCCCTAATAGTTAATAAAAGTTATTATAATATTTCACATTTTATCATTTAAATGACATCTTTCTGGGTCTCCAACAGGTCTTCTGACCAACGATGTTGAAGTTTCTGAGGGGGGCAAAGTAGTGCTGCCCTGTTCTCTTTCCCAGAGTGCACCTCAACCTGTTGTGGGAGGGAAGTGGAAGGCTGACCAACTCCCTACAAATCATTTCCCAACCCTAAAGAAATCAGAAGACAAAGGCTTACGCTGGAATGGGAAGAATTCAACAAAAATCACATTTACTAGTGGACAACTCAGCACAAACTATGATGTCACATTGATAAATGTGAATACCTTACACTGATCTTGCTTTGAATAAACTATACCTATAACATCGTGCCAATAATGAGGCTTTATTTTAAGAGTTGACAGTCATTTCCTCTCTTATTCTCTCAGGCAAAGCATGATGATGAAGGGGAGTATGTGTGCACAGTGCAGTTCGAGGGAGGAGCCGAGCTAACTGCAAAGACGCGTTTGAAGGTTGAGGCCAAACCTTCAGGTGAAACAAATCTACATTTCACAACTTTACAAAATCGGTCTTGGGATGCACTTTATCAGAACCACATCAGTTATTGACTGCCGATGTTAGTGAGCAGTCCATAGTTAATATATTTTGGATTAGTCATTAATTTTATATACGCTCAAATATATGTTTGCTGTCATTTTCAGACTGTGTTTGCTGTCATCTAATGCTTACTTAAAATGAAGATTTAAAAACAATAATTGAATACAATAAAGATGTTCATACTATACATTAGTCGACACCTACATTTTTGTTACATTTAAAGGGGTCATGAACTGGCTTTTTAAATTTTATTATATTGTTGTCTGAGGTCAACTTATGACGTTCGCTTGGTTTTTACATTCAAAAACATCAAAATGAATAAGTAATAGGCTATTTTGTACCCTAGTTTTGAGCCTAGCTGAAAAACGCTCTGTTTTTATGGGCGTCTCGCACTGAAGACTGCCCACTGCTGTGAGTGGATAACAGTTTTGCATATTATAATGAGTTTCGACTCACCCGTCGGTGCACTTGGGGGAAATTGTTTTGAAAACGTCCAATGTTGTAAAATGGCAACAGGAATAATTCGCCCATACATGTTCGACCCAGAGTCCATGTGTTGCACAATTCCTGTCAGATCCGATATAGACGGCACAGTAGCATTCTTAAATCTTAATCGGTCTGCAAATCCAGTCTTGTTTACAAAACAATCCTCCGTGAAATGAAGCGAACAGACGGACGATGTTTTACCCTCATCAGCTGGAACGTCATTAAAAATACAGTTTATCCATGCAATCCTATTGGAATCCAGAGGAAATTTATGTAGTGACTGTCTTCTTCCACAACCAGGCGCTGCACAATATTCTGTATTGCTCGGTAGCACAATCTGGTTTGCCATCACGAGGTAGGCATCTATGTAATTAGCTATGCGTGTTGGTGGACGGGGCTAAACCGGGCCATGTTGAAGGAGGTGTTGATCTTCTCCTGCAGGGGGTGGGGTTTTATCCTCTTTGACGCCATAGTTCCCCACTTTGAAAAACGAGTCGTTTGCTGATCCTGGTGTCAATAAAAGCTTTTATTGGACTAACAAGGACGTTTTCAGTTCTGAAACTTACAGGATATTCTTATAATATGATGACCTCTTAGATGTCAAAAGCTCAAGGAAATTTAGATTTCTCAGTTCTTCACCCCTTTAAATGATTTGAAGTGCTTTATTTTTTATTTAGTTTGACAAAATAGTTATTGGCTAAATTGATTATCAGCTTATTGGTACCAGGCAGGATTTTAACATCGCTATAGGAATTAATATAATTTCACAATAGAAAGGATGCAGTTTATGTGCATTGCTCACTAAGCAAAATCCCAGATCAACAGTGCAGTCTTAGTTTATAATGATCATTGAACAGGTGGACAGGAAGTCACTAAAGCACAAGGGAAAAAACCTGCAGGTGGGGGAACATGGACCAAGGAGGTGTTTGGCCTAAAGCTGTGGGTCTGGATTGCCGTAGGAGCCAGTTCTATGGTTCTGATAGGACTTGTCATTGGGATTGTTATCGTCCTGCGAAGGAACAAACGAATTAAGGTGAAAGAAAGAAAAGATGAAAACCAGCAAGCAAGTGAGAAAGGAAGTGGCTCATTTTTTTTTTCTTCTATCTAGAAGAGAGTGAAATATCTGAGATCCATGCGACAGTCTCTTACTGCCAATGACTACTGCCAATGCAACAGGTACCTCCTCTTCCTTTACTACACATGGTACTTGTATTACTCACAGTCAGGCTTACTGAACGTTTGTATGGGCTTTATGTTGATTTAAAGGGATAGTTCACCTTAAAATATATTTTTTTACACAAGAAGATATTTTTTAAAAATGTGTTAGTTTTTTTTTTTTCAATGAAAGTCCACGGGGATTCTAAGTATCTTCAAAATATCTATCATTTGACTGAAGAAAGAAAGTCAAAAAGGTTTGGAATGACATGAGGGTGAGTCAGTGATCACAAAATGTTCATTTTTGGATAAACTCCCTTTTTCTAATGCTGCAATTTCGTTATATATATTCTCTTAAAATTAAGATTTACATTGTTATTTTTAATTTATCAGTTGATATTGCTTATTTAACTGTGTCCACTCATTTCCCTATTGTTACATTTAGATTACCATCGCCTTTTTCTCACACTGTTCAGAATAATACCTAAATTCACTTTTAAGCATTTCAAGAGGTTTATTTTAATATTTTAAATGTGATTTTTTTTAACTTATTTGGACAAAATAGAGTGGAATTTAAATAATCTGCCATTTATCTGTTATATGAAACAAATATAATTTTTATAATCATGCATCCTTATTGTTTATTACACCACATTGTAGTTGCTGGTATAATGTTGAAATGAATAATAGGGAAGTTAAATTCAGTGTTTGGTAAAGCTACTTTTAAAAGCAATGCTTTACCATTACTCTGGATTACTTGTTAAAAATGCATAAAGTTACGTTTACATTACTTTTTGTCACCTGAGCTTTCTTTCTTGTTTGTTTTACAAAGTAATTTGTTACTTTATGATTATTTATCTGTATTTAATATAATGCATTACCCCTAACACTGGTTATATTTACTCAGTTACCCATTTGGTTAATAATATTAACTTGTTCGTAGTTAATAATTCATATTAGTTTAAAGCATAAATGAACCAAAGTGTTAAAGCAATCATACTACAGTATTACAGATGTCTTAAAGCGTTTGTTTGTTTATAGAGCTAAGATAGAGTCGGGAGGGTCGAGACAGCAAGAGAAACCGCTTCCAGTGCCCAGAAAACAGCGCAACCTGCGTATTCATCCAGCAAATCAAAACCATTCATTCGACAAGAGCAAAGAGCAAGACTACTAAGGGAAAAATATCATGCTGGGCCTGTGCTTTTATATGTGCTTCTTGCTTACCGGTAATGATGCCAAAAACACAAAAGAATGAATATGCCATGATTAGGCTTTGTACTTTTAAATCAAATAATGTGTATTTTGCAGAGGATATCATATAAATGCTTCTACAACTGGACTTTATGAATGACAAGAATGTTGAATGTTGCAGTTTTTCTTTCAAAAATAAAATTGTATTATTCTTTTAACATGGTTCTGCTGTATATTTGTAGTCTCTCTCTCTCTCTCTCTCTCTCTTTGCGTGTGTGTGTGTATTCGCACTATAGCTTTAATGAACAAAATTAAACTGGTGCAGCTGGAATTTTTTAGCTCACAGGTGTCCACAAATGCACAGCTGTTTGCAGACGTCAAAAACATCCAATTACTCAAAAGCTTATTTTTTGTTGTATAGCCTCCAACAATTAGGCCTAATACATTATACTCAACTGAATGTACGTTCATCTGTTTTTAGTACAAAAGTGTGTCTGTTTTTCGGCGTAGGATAAGATATAAATGCGCTTTATAAAGAAAGTTAAATTTCGGGTGATATCAGGTAAAATGGGCCATTTAAGGTTTGGGGGTCACAGCTTCTCTGGAATTTAGAGCCAATGACTGCAAAGGATTTCAAACAGTTGTCATAACTGTGCTTGACAAGTAACAGGTGATTTGATTGATTTATAGTTACTATGGTGGGCGGGGGAATAATTCAAATCGAGACTACAACAGAAAGCTGTATGGTAAGTAGCATGGCATACCAAATCTAACTAAACTATTATAAGGATGATAAATCTATAAAATAGCAAACATGCTCAGAAAAAAACTATGCATACTGTCTGTCTCGATGGCATTAATCAGAAATAATGTTAGTTTGGTAATTGGTATATGCACATATTTTTTGTAAAAGTGATGTTTTTCTTGGCGGCCCAATTTACCTTAGCCCACTGAGGTAAAATGGGCCATCATCTGTAACACACACAGGCGCACACACATTTTTGTTTTTAAATGGCACATATGAAATATGTTCGTTTAATGCAGTTGAAATGGTACACTGTAAGAATGAATACCGGTATATCTAGCAATAAAATGGCAACAGATTACAAGCAATATTATTAATTAAATTTAACAAATTAGAATTGAGTAATAATTAATCAAATTGATTCCTTAAAAGTTATCCAATAATGAGTACATATTAACCAGTCAAATGATTGTGCAAAAAATATTATGTTAAAACATAACCAACACCATCAGATCACCTTTTCTATTTGTTTATCTGAAGGGAGCCCAACTAAAACAAACATTGATCACCATAATGGTGACATAAAATGATGGTTTTCTCCTTCAGTAATTCTTCTTGTTAACAGGCGTCTTCAATATTGGCAATTTAGTTCCTCATTCATCTTTGATGTATATCTGTTATTCAGATATTTTTGTTTATTTTTTGTACATTTTACTCATTTTAAATGGTTAAATTTTAAGGAATTAATTAGGTTAATTATTACTCAGTTCTAATTTGTTAAATGTAATTAATACTGTAATATTGCTTGTAATCTGTTGTCACAGTTTTACTGATTACATATAGCGTATTCATTTTTATAGTGTATGTGGTTGTATAAGAAATTGTGTTTAAATATAATTGATGATAAATTGCTATTTCCCTTTGCAGTTTGACTGGACCATTTTACCTGAAACGGCTCATGCAAAAAAGTTGGCACATCTGATGTTTCAAGAACTGTAGGGCCTAAATAATTATATTTTATTACATAATTTCAACACAAATGTATCAAATCAGTCATTATTAATCATAAAAACACATGGAAAAGGCATATGGTAGGCCTATTCTATTGTATTATGCCCAGCTGCACTACTTCCTGAACTTCAGCCAGCTCCTTGTTTCCTGTCTGCCATTATTGGCCAAATTGATTAATTTAGGTGTGCCTGACCTCAGTAGTCACCGCAACAATAATCAGACACACCTGAATTAATCAATTTGGCCAATAATGGCAGACAGGAAACAAGGAGCTGGCTGAAGTTCAGGAAGTAGTGCAGCTGTGCATAAAGCGCGACGTTTTTTAACGCAGTGTTATGCGCGTCAGTCTCAACGGTCACAGACACACACACACACACACACACACACACACACACACACACACACGTCCGTCTATAAGTGGACACATATCAACTGATATATTTAAAAATAACAATGTAAAAGTAAAACTTAATTTATTGAAAAATAATGAAGAAGTAGCGCAGTGGAGTGGAAAAACGCGTTCTGTGTGAACGGCCCCACAGACCCTATTATGCCACAGACAGACTGCAATAAAAGAGGTCTAGGAAAGGCTCGCTGATGCAGACGGAAGGCCTTTGGTTTGATAAATGATGTGTGGCACTGATATAGAGGTAAACTGTCAAAGTAAAAACAAACGCATATGATGCTACGATACCACAGACACATGAGCGTAGAGCTGCGCAAGTCACGTTGCAGTTTCCTGCCCTGTGTGTGTGACTGAATGTGTTTGGAAGAAAATGTCAGTGTAGCTCTGAGATCCTGAACAGAACACACACACGCACGCACACAGACTCATTTCATCAGAACTGTAAGTATTGCTCTGTTACTATGACAAATTCAAACTATGCTTTTTGTTATTAGTTTGCATGCCTGGTAGATATTTGTTTAGCTACTTGTATAAAGCCAAAAGTGTTTTGTCTTCAGCTAAATGTCTTGACACAAACGACGAGCTAGCAAATATTCCATATAAAATGACAGTGGTGGGTTCGTTAATGATCTTCTTTACAAGCAGCTAGTTTTGTTCATTAAAATAATATGGTCCTATAGAGGCTACTTGTAAAAAAAACTAAAAAAGCATTGTAATGTAAAGTTATAGATGTCTCGGATGGCGATTTGTTGTTTTTGGTGTGCTGTCTCTCTAGCAATCAAAATACTTAATATCAAACGTTTAACAGCTGAATGATAACATAAATAACCGATTCAAGAGACATTTTAGGTGTATATTGATATACTGACATGGTATACTAAATATTTTTGTTGATTAATTTTTTTGAAGTCTTACTGCAAAATAGCCTAAGTTATCTCATGTCATTGTGCATTTATGTTTTATTACTCTTATTAGACATACAATAGGCTATTTAAATCTGTCAGCCTTCCCTTTACTGTGCAGAATATTAACAGATATTATAACTGTTTAATTCTAACCGTAGGCTACTGTAGGCCAAGGCCTAAATACGGATCATTGCTTGAAAATTCACAATTATTTGTTGTCAACAGACAAACTCTTATAAACTGGGTGAAGATTAAGTCAAAGACTTTAAGTACTATTCGGGTTTAGTCTTTAGTGTGATATGATGAAGGTTTTGTGAAGTTTCAACAGTTTCGTAATACGTTAAATGTTCACAGTCCGACTGAATGGTACTTTTTGCATTTGCTACATTTCATTTAAATCATTTGAGGTCACTGAGATATCAATATAAACCTAAAAAATGTGCATATTTAGGTAATATTGAACAGAAACAGCAGATTTTCATAAAAATCATTTACAATATTAGATATTTTTACATTTAAATTCAGAAAAGGGTTCAAGTTTAAGTCACTAATAGCCTATACCCCTACATCACATAATGTATATTGCTTCAAATTTTCAAGGGGTTGCTCTAAACTGCTAGCCTGTGAAACTTTTTCACTATGGAGTATTCACTTTAATAGACACCATCCTCATCCTCCACCCAATTTCACGGAAATCCATCCACATTAATTGCAGTTTTTCAGAACATATTCAATACAATTCCCACTTAAAAATGAATGGCATTGCATTAGATAGAAAATTTCAATGTAAGCGTCATCTGCAAACAAAATGCTGCTATGCTTTCCTCAACTAACTCTTCTGATTTATGCTCAAACAAGGCTTTCAATTCAATTCCTAGGGCCTGTATGAACCTGATAAAATGCAATAGAATGCAGTGTAAGTTGTTTTGTATTTTTGTATTCGCTCAAAAATGGTGCTTTTTATTGGCTGAATAAAGTCAGCTCCCAAGTGCACACAGGTGTCCAACCAGACTAACCACAAGCTCATCACATTAACTTGTTTGACAATCCAAAAGTATCCAAACACTAATTTGAACAGTAAATTTATTGTTTTATCACTTAAATAGTTTGCTTGAAAATTGGGTGATTAAAAAACAACAACAACATTGAATGCAATGGTATTTATTTGTTTAAGTTTGGCTTAGGTGTTCAAATACGTGCTGAGGCCACATTGTGTTCTGCAGGGGAAAGGAGTTATGATACAAATACAAACAGATGCCCGATCATAAAAAATAACTGTGCGTCATTGAAAGACATCACTGCCTTTTGCTAAAGATCTCTTTTTGTCGGTGGATTGTTGACGAAAATCGCATACAAAACATATGAGTAGGTCTGCTATCCCTCATGACAACATCAATATAAGAATTTTGGTAACACTTTACAATAAGGTTCATTAGTTAACATTAGTTAATGTAAGTAACTAACTTGAACTAACCATGAGCAATACATTTGTTACAGTATTTATTCATCTTTGTTGCAGCTGTTCATTGTTTAATAAATGCTCTATAAGTGCAGTTCATTATTAGTTCATGCTAACTACAGTTAACTAATGTTAATGAACCTTATCGTAACGTGTCACCAGAATTATCTTCAAGAGTCCATCATATTGCGTTCCCTTAGTTGAATAATACGTGTCGAAGATGTCATGGAGAGATTCTGTTTGTCAGCGTATAGCAATGTAGTCGCAAATGTCTGGTGGTTATGGTTTTTATCATGTTAATTTTATTATGAAAATATCAGTCCGGCATAACCGATTTTACAGATATGCACTGACTTTATGCAGCAATAAACTATTCTCATGTTAGCGGCACATATAGAGAGGGTTGTACGAGCTTTATTCGATTTTTCGACTTTGTCTCGTTCTGTCAAACGTCTTTTCAAAATTCAATCCATCAAAAACACTTTGACCTCAGGTGCAGCTCAAAATGCACAGTGAAAAAATGTCAAATAAACAATTGACATTTTTTAAATAATCACCTTGGGTTACAATTTATTTTGAGATGAGATTGTTACAGTGTAATTACACAAATAAGTACTACATTTTAAGTAATGCACATACTAGGGTTTGGCTTATTTGCTTGTAGTTAAGCATAATTTACTGTTATTACTACA